ATGGACGTGCCTGAAACAAACAAGAGCATGAACATTGAATAAATGTAAACGGATGGGATTATTGATCTGCGACGTGATTTTAAATAGTGCTTGAGACAAAGACGTTCACATCATAAGTGCAGGGAAGTCTCCTTACATTCCACATACAGCTTGCCCATGTAGAATTTCTAGAAGCGCCGGTGCAGATCCGAAGTGCTTCACGATATATAAGATTGAGTTTGGCCATCACTGAAGGCTTTGCCAACCGCAGTCAAGTTTTGAGCGGATATATAAGAAGCTGCGATCGGCTTCCATATTCGACAAGACTTTCAGAATATTCATTATTTTCTTAGAAAAATGATATGGAGTAGGAAAGTAAGCTTGGGGTCGAACAGCTTCTCTAGTAATTTGATATCCTTTTCTACAGGAAGCAGTACGTCGTACAAATAAAGTTCGGGATCAGCATGAGGAATCTTCTTGCAACAAAAATGCACACAGACTTTTGGGTAGAAAACCTGAAACCATTCTGCATGCATTTAAGTATTCTTTTCAGAGATGTATGTAATTCTCTCTCGATGTATTTCAAGTATGCTCACTGAATTGCAGGTCGTCAACATAAAGTATTCCATGGACTGTAGAAGGGAAGTGTTTTAAAATCATTTTAAGTTAAAAAGAGTGATAACTCGTTACACGCCTTGAGGAACACCTGTTCTTAACAAAACACATCAGAGAGGACACACACAATTTTCACATAAAACCTTCGATCCTGTAAGAAATGTTAGATGAAAAATTGGCAGATTTCCTCGTAAGGTCGCGAAAGATGCCGTACCACCATGTAGTGTCACAGGCTTTTCTCTATCATAAAAATACAGCCAACGAAGTGATTCCTTTTTACGAGCGTTTTAAAGATACTAGTTTCTAAGAACAGAAAATCATCAACAGTTGTCCGCCCTTTTCTAAATCCTACTTTGATAAGGGGAGTTACAATTATTCATCTCTAAATAGTAGATTAGGTTAGTGTTGAGCATCTTTTCGAGTAGTTTGCAAAGTCGTCTGTTTAAATCGATGGGGAAATTCGCAGGTTTGGCAATCGGCCAGCAGCAGGCTATGATCTCTGCGACAAAGCTCTTCGCAACTCCAGCATACATTATTAAAGTTCAGGAGTGGGAAAGCTGAAATCAGTGAGCTGTATTTTAAATAGTAGCTTTGCAGAAAGGAATGCAAGATGATAATTCCTGCTATTTGAGACAGCTGAAATCGCCTCTCCGATGGTATTCGCAAATCCTTCCTTGCTGTTTATTATATCATTATTTAAGATGGAAGTGCGTATAATCTTTGTTGATATCAGATGTTTTCCGAACTCTTTCCCATAACTTCTTACGCGAAATAGAGGAATTTATCGAAGACATATAGGAGATAAACAAATGTTCACAATAAACGAAATTTTAGAATTTGTCTAAAGTAAACCTCTCACATTTTACCTATTTTTTAAATGCGAAAATATCGCGATTAAAATGCGGAATTAATAAGTCGAACTTTAAATATCCAACAGAATCACTGAAGAAATTAAAAACAGCCAGGTTTAATGTACATTAGCAGTTTGTAAAGTTAAATTATCTTTAGAACCAACATTCAAAGGAGCAACTGATGATACAATTTTTAAAAAAACTTAAGCAGAACTTGAGTTGCAGAATTCAAGGACTGAAAAAAAAAAATCGAAATGCAATTTTCAAAAATTTTACATCAAAATATGCACACCAAAACGATTTAATATGTATCATAAATTGTAGCATATTTTGTCGATTAGCCAACTAGAATAGAGAACCCCCCCGAAAAAAAAAACACGGAAGAACTAAACGTTAAAGGGATACATTTCTGTAGGTTAAACATATCCTTCTGCTTTAGTTGCAGGATTAAAAAAAGTTATTCATGTTATAGAGATTTCTGCTGGTATTAGTTTCTTCAACATTTAAAAACAAGAAGTACAGTACTGCCACTTTTTATAATACATTAATAGAGTTAAAATTGTTAGTAACAAGCACTAGGTAATTTAGTAGTAAACATTTCTATTTTATGCAACGGAAAACTTTAATAGATTCAATGTTCTAATACTATTCTGGCTCAACAGTAAAGTCACTGGTAGTCTGACCTAGTTTCAATTCCAGGAGAACAGTCCATGTGTGTATACAAACAACTTTTGCTTAGATAACCCTTGTGTATGATAATCAAATAAACCAACAAGCCAATTTAATACCTTTCTTTTTAGAAAATTATAATTTTTACAGTCTGTAAAATGAAGTCTATTATTTAAGGCATCCGAAACACGTTGAAAAGGCCAATTTTGGCAAAAAATGGCAATTTTCCTTTCCAAAACTGGTATGCTTTTGTTTATACGTTAATTAGAAACCAAGATATTAAGGATTTCATAAAGATGCAAAAACCAGAAATGGGCATTTAAATCACCGAAAGTGCCATTCAAAGGGTTGAAAAGAGCTAGAAATGGACATAAATAATTTGCTGTCTTTGAAATATAATTTAAAGACTTTTAAAGAGAGGGAATTTATAGAATCTTATCTGTAGTCTGTTCAGCAACATGAAATTATTTCCAATAAAATGCAATATTTTTATTAATTACCTGTAGAAAGCGTTATGCCCTCGCTAGCATATGTGTTTGATTTGATTCGACACATTGCATACTGCAATTCTTAGTTTTTGATTATTTAAAAAAATATTCTACTTAAAAGCATAATAAAGGGTCATAAAAAAATCAAAGTCTTGTGTTTGTAAACGAAAATGCGTTTTATGAAACGTGTTGTGAAGGAAATAGAGAATAATATTAATAAAGCAATTTCCATTGAGTAAACTAAAAATAAAATGTTTCTCATCGGCAGGAGACATTTTTGAAAGTGATTTGTGACGTAAATATTTATACTTAAGTAGTGTCATTAAATATGAATGCGTAAGTCATATTCAGAAGCCCCGTTCCAGAGTTAGAAAATTGAAGGGAAAATAAAAATATCTTGATGGAGGGGTCAACAGCGCTCACTAATGATGTCTTTATTGCCAAACTTTAAAATGGAATTAGAATCAGGAACAATGAATGGAAAGTGCTGTAACTGCTATATTTTTTTCACACTTTCTCTCGTGCAAAACTACTTATACATGGTCAGTGCCCAGATGGACCAGACATTTTTTGTAAATATCAGCAAGCTGTATCAGTTAAAAGAGTGTACAAAAACAAATCCAAAGGACTGGGCCAAAGAATGTAATTAATATTCTTCAGAGTGTATATAAAACTATGTGAGCAGAAGCTCTTTTAGAAGTGCTTATAAAAAAAGACATGAAATGCAAACAAAATTTTAATTACATTGTTTGGAAATTTATACCGATGGTTGCCATTGTGGAATTACAAACTCTAAAATAAGGGGCCTACATAGCTGTTATACACTTTAACAGAGCGCTTTTAGGCTTACTAGATATTTTAAATTATATAGGTATGCAACATGGTGAATGTGCAGTTGAGAGATTTAGTAAGCTCGACATAGAGTGATTAAGGAAATCAAAATATCACTCACTACCCAGAGTAAAAATTGGCACAAAAAACAAATAGGCTGAATATAAACAGAAAAAGAGATAAAGTTGAACAAACGGAAGGTATAAGATATAGATATGGGGAGTTTTAGGTATCTGGGTCAAGATTTAATAATAAAAATAAAGCATTTTAAACTTTAAATGCATTTTTCTCAAAATCTATTTTTTCTAAAAACTGGCTCACTTGGTGCACGATAAATCAAATTATTATTACTTAATTTTTATGAAACTTTATATGCTTAATCTATATATAGTTATCTAGGGAATGACATTCCCCAGAATATTTATATATTAAATATTTTTGAAATTGTGGCCTGTTATTTAAATAATGACACCGTGAATTTATTGAAAATCTCATAAAAAATTTTCAAAATTCTGAATTTTTTTTACTATTTGAGATATTTTTTTTAAATCCTATGTCATTCCCTACATAAAAGCATGCAATTTATTATTATATGACTCTTTTTAATATAACTTTAATATTTTTTCATATAGAATGTTTCAAATTGTTTTAAAATTTGCTTAAAAGTTTATGCAAATTTAATATTTTTTGCAGGATAATAGAATATATTAAATTTTGATATTCCATAATTAATATCTATAGATAATAAATGAGAAAATGTATTTATAGTGTACCTATACTGCTTTTTTGAAAAAAAGTGCTTCGAACGTGGTCGGATACTTTAATACAGATGATGTTTATCTTTAATTATAGCTATTGTGCAATTACTTTTTAAAAACAATACAATATTAATGCATCTTAGAATTTTGCACTTAAGCAATAAACTAAATTATCACCATAGAGATTTATAAACCATAGAAAAAAAAAAAAATTAGGATGAAATAGAGTGGGGTGAAAAAAGAAGACAATATAGCTTGATTTTGCAGAAAAACAAACAGCTGAAGATTCAAACTACTTGTAATAATATATTTTTTAATATAGCTAATTTTGATTTACACATTCATATTTTGTCTACTAGATATTGAATTTTGCTAGTTTTGTTTTATATTGTGCTTTTCAATTACGTACTTTGACAAACACCACCACCACCACCACAAAAAACATGCACTTTAATATTTATACAGTGTTCACATTCTCTCTAAATGCTCAGTTTTTAAATTTCTTTCTCATAGACCTCACCAATCACACATAGTAAAGAATATTTTTTGTTTTGTTCAAAAAAAATCTCCATGCACATATTTCTAATTTGTAACTGTACTTTATACATTTTATATATACATGTACTTTTAATAGTAAGCGCACCAGAAGTGCCAAAAGAATATAGCAAAACTTGAAAGCAATTACATGCAATATACTAAAATATTTTTTATTCCAACTATACTACTAATTTTCATACTGCTGCAGTATTTTTTTTTTTTTTTTTTTTCCAGTTATCTAAATGTCAAGATGTCTTTTTAAGAGAAAAACACTACTTTTAACTGGCTTTATTAACATGAACAATTCTGTACATATCAGTAACTATAGCTGTCATTCATAAATAAGGACATCAACAAACACATGTCAGATGACAACATAAATTAAAGATAAGGAAATACACAAATGACTTTGCTCTAGCAAAACATGGTGAATAGTTCACTTTTTCTTTGCTAATTACATATAAAAAAGGGAATGGGGGGAAAAAGGTAACAGCAAAGACAAAAGTAAAACATTTCTTCCAAGGATTGTAGGGCAGTATCTCACCGGTTAGTATCATAAAATTGCATATTGTATCAAAATGGATGGAGGGGGATAGAAAAGATTTAATCAAAATGTTTTTAAGACTTTCCTTTTCAATTTACAGGACAGAATTTCAGTTTAAATAGATCTTGTGATAGAAATGTTAAGCTACGTTTAGCTTGTACATTTTTTTTAGTAACATACAATAAAATACATTTTAAAACTGGAAAGAATAGATAAAAACTACAAAGAACAAAGTATTTATAATAAGTATGAGGTGAGAATTAGAAAGTATATTATAAATCGATATAAATTTTAGATGTCTGGAACATAACAGAGTTACATTGAGAAAAATTATTAAAATAACAAATTCTCTCCACACATATTGACTATATTTATGCACAGATTTACAATTAACCGAGGGAGATTATCTTCTATATATTAATAAACTAATTTAAACACATAAAGGGAAAATCTACTCATCATTTTGTAATAAAAGAAAAACTTATTTAACTAAAAAATTTACACTGCATTCTGACAGAACTGCTACTTCCCAAACACAAATTACTATGTATATTACCATTAAAAATAGCATATTTCTTCATAAATGAAATTATATTTGTGGGTTTGATTTTAAGAGACTTATTATTACAAACAAATCTGAATAAAAAATTCAATACAAATAAATAGAAATTTCTTTCCACTTTTAAATTTATCTAGTTTGACATGTTCGAAATTTGAATATATGTTCTCTGCATTTAAATTCTAATGTCACATCATGGCTTTGGGGAAAAAAAATATATTGAACATTTCAGATTTTAAAAACTAACCTAAAAATTAAACTTGAAAACAAGCTTTTATTTTCAAATGATTTGACAAGAAAAAAATTAACAAATAAGTTAAATTAAATTTAGAATTTTCCCCAGTATTCTCCACTGAAGTTATTCTACATTTGTATCACCAAAGAAAAATCTAAAATTTATAATTTCAGTAATTATGACACACCAAAATAAAGAGTATTTCTTATTACAGAAATTACTAGTTTTGAAAATTTAGCTAAAAAGTTTAAAATCATTTAATTATTTTTAATTTAAGAACCCAGACTTTCTTTAAATATGTAAAAACACAACTGAAGATAACAAATGCTTAGTTAAAAATTTCAAAAGGAGACACTTAAAAAAAAAAACTAATCCCTCCAGCAGTCTATGTTAATGAAGTTTCTGGTAATTTCTATACAGGATTTATTCATACGAACTTTTTAATTTTTAACTTATTATATACATAAAACTGAAGACATATTAAACCTAAGAATTATAATTTCTTAATTTATCCAAGAAACTATTGTAAGAAAGTTAATTTGATTTCAGTCTAATATATCCTTTTTTAATTATTACCACATGCTGCTAATCTGCAAAAAATACCATGTTCATACTGAAAAGCAATTACTGCTCAAACAGAACTGAATGCCTGTTACTACATTCTAAAAAATGCAATTGCATAGTTGAAGGAAAGTTAATATTTAACTATATATAAATGGTGACTTCAAAAGAAATTATATTAAGGATCAGATACTATGCATGTGTCACATATTACTTTCCCCTCCTACAGAATTAATGGAAGGCTTTTAATTTTTTAAACTTTATTGTATAGTGAAAATTAAGTAGTTTCCATATATTTATTTATCACATTCAAAGTCTAAATCACAATTTCACTAATTTTTTTTTTTTTTAAAAGTGGAAAAGTTTTACAAATTTGATTAAAACACGTACATACAATTTTGAAACATCAATGAGTTTAGTTATCACATGATCATAAAACTCAAGAGTTTCAGATAAATAGTGTTAGACAAAGAAATTATACAAACATTTACATAAATATTTTATACAAATTAAAAATTTTCATTGCTCATGTTATTAAAAAGATTTATAAAATACACAAATTTTCCTTTATATAGTAACTGATAACTTTGTCATCTTAAGAAAAGAGAGGCTGGCAAAGAAATTTCATTTATTGTATTTTAATCAAAATCAATTAACGTATCCAATTTACATAACGAGTTGAAACTTTTGGGCTGTAGTTCATAAAAAAATTTAATTATTCCAGTTGAAGCTATTAAAACATTTAAAAAAATTAATGAAAAAATACAATTATTTATCACTGGAACAAAATTATTATTTAATGAAAACACAAAAAATAATTAGAAGACCAGAAGATTCATGCTTTTACATAACATCTGACTAGATTAGATTAATTATCAAGAAGGAAACAAAAACTTTCACAATATTGAATTCATATCAAGAATAGTCACTGAGGTGAAATATTTCAGGTACTTCATACAGTTCAATTCAATACTAACTGATATTTCAAGCATTACACACAAATACAATAAATACAAAATGAGCTAGCTTAAAATAATATCAGCACATCAACATAAAAAATTTTAAATACACATGTGCACAGAGAATGTGGAAGATTCTTATCTTTATATTACAGCTGCATGAAGTTCACTATACTGAAAATTTAATAGCAAAAGCTAAAAATATCAGTTCTATGTTATGCTCTGAGACAATGAATTATCATATTAATTTTATATAATCACTTTCCATCTAATAGGAGGTGTTAAATGCAAATATACTTTACAAATGCTATTATTTACAATGCTAAAAATATTTTTGTTTGGTGTTAAGAATCATAAAATAGCAGTAAATAATTAGGACAGATATAGACAGTCATCTTTGAATTCTCTACACTCCACAAAATTTACAGCAACGCATAAAAGCAAATTTAAATATAAAAGAATAAACTTAAAATTTATAAACACAACTGAAAAATACATTAAAAAAATAAACTTTCTGGTATTACATACTGCTGCTAAACAGTATTTTACGCAATGCTACATTCATGCAACAAAATATTGCATAGCACTGAAATCCAACCTTTACTAGCCTTTCCTTTTTGATAAAATCAGATTTACTTTGTATGGAATGATATCAGTATTTTTGTTTGAAGTGTTTCACTTTACAAATATACATGGTCCTGTTTTGTAAATGAACATTTGTTTTGAACATTTAAAAATTTACATAATTTTATTACAAAGATTAATATACAAATAACACTGCCTTTTATGTTCTTACATCATAAAATTATACCTACCAATTTCATGAGGGTCCAAAATTACAATGTATGTACAACACACTTATTTTAAAAAAATTCACATATCGCTAAATAATGTTAAAAGCTCGTTTTAAAAATGTTTAATTGTCAAATGTAACAAAGTAAAGCAGAGAAATTCAGAACTGAAAAAGAGGAAACGTTATTTGCACAACATAGAATGAATTTATGCTACATGCCTACTATGAATCAACTCCTCTGATTAACAACTTTTCCCCCCTTTTTTTTAATAGGCAGATGAAATACAAGATGCAAGAATGATATTTAAAATATACACGAATATTTTTCCTTTTTGAAAAATGACAAAATTTTTGCCAAAGCATAAAAAATACTGAAAACTAGGCTACCACAACAAAAAATTTGGACATTCCATTAATAATTCATTTACTTATCTCAAAGCAAATATAAACTGACAAAGTCTATCAATAAAAGTAGATACTTAAAAGTCAAACTTTCCATTATTGTTTTGTGCACAATATACTGAAATCATTTTATTAGATATCTTTAATTATAAAACAATGAAACAAAGCCGATTTAAAAGTTACAGATGGCTGCTTTCCTTTCACTAATTTAAATACCTAGATTTCACTGCTCATCAGAAGAAGCCTAAATTAAAGGGTTACAAGTAACTATTGAATCTGTTTAAGAACTCAGAATTTAGTTTTTTCAATTTAGAAAATAAAATGAGAAAGGGGGAAATACTTCTGCTTTGAAAAAAATTTCTTTATCTAAAAACTTGAGTGCTATCCATTTTTAACAGTTAACATGCTTCTTGTACATTTATGAAAATTCATAAACTTATGACATTTTATCTATTTACAAAGATTTTTCAATATATGCATAACTGGAATCATAGACACCATCAAACGAGATATACATGATGAAAACTTTATATTTTAAATATAACAGAATTAGAAGTTTGGACAATTACTTTGGCAGTGATTTTAAAGATTTATGATTAAGAAAAGCTTAACTCTAAAAAAGAGCAAGCTCCAAGTCCAGCTTAACTGAATATTAAATTACTTCCTACAATATTTTATTCACAAAGGTAATAATTTCATTATGGAATATAATAAACATTACAGCTAATAACAACTTTATCAGGGAAAGAATTCAATAAATATAACAATACGTTACTGCATATTTACAATATCTATATTACATTAAATGATGCATAGTGCTAAAAATGTTTCAATAAAAGTGCTTTGCAGAATACTTGATTCAAACAAGTTAAGCAGATGTTCTAATACAGAAGAAAATGCCATCTTGATCTTGTCTGATGCATGTTCTAAGCTCACAAACACACTGAATTAAGTTAGGTAATTTCTGTTATTTGCTATAACTTCTGTTACAAAATTATGAATTACAATTAAGAACACTATGATGAAGCACCAGCAGGTGAATAATAAATGTTAATTTCAAGTCCTATTCTAACACCAAAATTGGGTTTACATGAACTTCCTGAACAAAACCGCTCAGGCTAATCCAAGTTCAAAAAATGTAAAATATGACTATCACATAAGATGAGATCCTTAGAAGTACCACATACATAAATTTATGCACAGATGACTTCGACGATCTGCTTTTAAAAACGGACGTCTTCAGGAGATGCATGTACAGAATACTATCCCATTAACAGTACTTTAATTATGCTCGTAAAGGAGGCTCTACACTTGCTTTCAACCTTTTCCTTTGACCACTTTTTGATTCATCAGTGTCTGAACTGTCTTCAGAGTCCGAATCAGCGTCAAATGCTGCCACCATTGAGCTAGCTTTGTTATTTAAATGTGTTGCCTCGAGAACAGCAGCTGCTGCTGCATAATTACCAGTAGATTTTGCTCTTTCCAAGGACTGAACTAGTAATTAAAAAAAATATATTAAGTTTCATATTAAAAATAGTATAATAGAAACATAATCACAATTTTAAAAAAGGCAAAACTCCAATTTGATGTTGATTTTAAACAATGCATTTAAAAAATTATCTAGTAGAGGTTTTTTGGGGGGGATAGATCAGTTCATCTCTTAAAAAATTCAAATTTTTAAAATCAATATAAACTTATAATCAAATTCTACTTTAAAAGTGAATATGCTGTGCTACTCTTAAAATAGGTACAGTCAAATACTGAAAATCCGCCGACCTGAAATGCGTGCTGCCTCTCAGAATATAAACATTCAGTTTATGGGTTCCGGAAACCGCAACATTGAGTACAAAATATCAAAGAAAAAAATACTTACCGAATAATGACATCATAATTACCAAATAATTACGAGTCAAAACGGAAATACCAAATTATTGATATAAAAAAGTTAAAAAATAAGATAAAATAAATAAGTTTTTTCCCCTCTAATCTGCATAGAGGTAAAAAAGCAGATGATTCACTCTTTGTTCAAGTTCACAATTCATGTTGTTGTATTTTTTTAGCTTTGTTATTTCATTTCACGAAATTGTTTAGTGCTGCCTTATTTTTATCTGGATATTTTGCGGATAAAATAAGAATATTTTAAATTTCAACCCTTTTTAATACAATAACAAATAAGAAACGCACTCATGATTTTACTACTTGCAACTTTGAAAAACGTAAACATGTTGCATTGACGGTAACGCAAAAAGTGCAAATTCTGCAAAAGATGGAAGCAGGTGCTACTCCTCGATTTATAGTAGAATGGTATGGAACTGCAAAACGATTGTGTATGATATGTTGAAATTTTACAGCAACAGTGATTCTAACACCGGAAATCTTTGCATGAGGTGAAATCGGCAAACCTCGATGCTGTATATATATAATACAATGAATAATATAATCAATTTCATAATAATAATTTAATGCATATAATAAATTATTGCAATAATGTATATAATAATTTGATTAAATGTATCTAATATGCCTTATTCATTTTGCACTTTTAGTCTTAATATTATGCATTATCTTTTCTGTCCTGAAATCCGCAAAATCCTAAAATCCGCACAACCTCTGGTCCCAAGCTTTGCAGATTTCTGGAATTCTACTGTAATAAAATGAAGTTAACTCCCATTAATACATTTTTTCTTTGCACAAGAAACCGAAATTCGATTATAAATTACTCATTTTCTTTAACCTCACAGTAATATTGGTATAAAAAAATGCTGAGGTTGAACAGCATAAACACTGCTACTCTTTCACATAGGAATACCTTTGTTTCTTGATCAAATCTTTATTTTCTTGATTTACAGAACTTTTCTAATATTCCCAATATAAGTTCAACAAAGTGATTTGTTAACCTTTTAGGTAAGATTTCCAGTTTTGTGAATTAATTCAGAAAAAATACTACTGGAAAGAAATTTCAATGGACCCATCATCCTAACTGAAACAGAAAACTGATACATAAGCTACATCAAGAGGTAAGGACTGAGCTAATTAATTGCTGCATTACCGACTATAACTTCAAATTTTAAAAAATAATTCTACCTTCTTAATGGCCCCCAAAGGGATCCCATACACCAAAACTCATAACACTATGTTTCGTAATTTTTCGTAAACAATATTTTTGTCCCATACACAGAATATACAAATACTCAATTTTTAGTAAAACCATGGCAAAAGCGATACAATTCTAGCTAAACCTTCAATTCTATTAAGCTACACCAAGGAAATCAAGATCAAGAAAAGTCTTGGCTGTGACAGAATAGTAATAGAATGGGCTGAAATATATATATAAGAAACTAGTCAGGTTTAACTTTGCCAGTGTGGGATAAGCAAGATAAAATTTAGCAGAACAGCATGTCATTATTCTCCATTCTCAAGATACATCAGCAACAGTGCATTGTGTATGCTACTTATATAATGATAACTGTGAAATTCGAAGGTTTTTCCTGGAATACTGTAAACAAAAAGCAAAATTTTTCAAATTATGGAATTTGTGAAGAAATATAGAGAAGTAATAAATGAAGATGATATGACAGAAGTTTTTGTTGTGGTGGCAATGGTCAGTTAAATTAAGTGAACTAATGGATGGCAAATCTCCACTATGTTTCTAAGTCCATAAAATATCTAATGACAATGAAAAATACACAGAATGAAAAAATACATATTGACAATTTAGTGAAAATTCTCTATACGGCAATTACTGGACTTATCTATGAAAACGGCTATGCAACCATGCATTTTTCAAATCTGGTCTTTCATCAATAGCAATGGAGTAATACTCCATATTATTCAAAATGCCCTCCAAACAATTTCTGGCATTTGCTGCCAATTTACCTTGTTACTCTGTTCTTGCTAATAAGCTAATCAAAGAAAATAATTTTTTTTTTTTTTTTTTAATTTTCCCCTACATAAACAACAGGTACTTTTAGCAGTATTTCTTTGAAGATAAAAACTCCATGGTTAAAGGTTTCATTCTCCCTGCCATTAGTTTTGACACCTCATAGCTAGGACGAGTATTTTGGTCTACTCTTGTGAAAGAGAATGACTGAAAAATTATTTCTCAGCTATACAACTTCATTTTCTTGTACTTTACCTCTGAAACTACTGTGACAAGATTTATAGTGCTGTTTGATATTCAGACTTTTTTAAGAGCAATTGTTTTCTGACAAATTAAATAAACAAATTTCTCATTATGCTAAAAAAATAACCACATGTTTAGTCATTGTTAAAAATTCAGCCCTCCAAATCCACTTTCCTCGAGTTTCCATAGGCTTGTTTTTGTTCACACAAAAGAATTCAAGGAAGGAAAGAGGAAAAATTCAATACCTCCCTTTAATTGGGTTATCATATCTAATAACGCATCAGGCTAGAAGAAACTTGTCCGAGAAGCCAAAACTTGTTTCGATGAAATCTACATCCTGCCCAGCTGTGCAAGACTTTTTAAAATTGAATGGAAAATATTTTGTTCCAAGCTTTATTGAAAGAAAATATTTTGTTCCAAGCTTGTATGATTTCTCTGAAGAATTGGTTTCTGCATTGGTCAACCAATCAGGTATCCCAAAAATATAAAAGATCTGGGAAATGTCTCAGGTGACGCATTATTGGGGTAGCTTGTAGATGTGATACAGATTAACGACTTTTATTTATATCCAATTTTGGCCCCATTCTAATAGCAATTAACATAATTTATCAAAAATAACGAAATAAACAACTACTGAATACAGATACCAACTGATTAGTTATTTTTCCCCACCAGAAAAAAGTTAGCAATACCAAGGTGGAAAGGCGTTGAATGAAAAAACTCTCAGGAAAGATGATATGAAGTATTTTTTTATGCTAAAATCCATATTCAATGATAAATAAAATTAAATCAATACCAAATTATCTAGTTGTTAGATCATTATTGTCGAGACATTGACAGGATGGGTAAAAATCCCTCAAGGGCCATATGTAGTCCGAGGGTTGCCAACACCGCTTTATTCCTAGTTAATCGATAGAAACTTCATCGTCCACTTAAATTACACAGTCTACTAGCTGTCAATTTTTTCTGGCATGCCACAAGGGTTGTTTCTCAGCTCAATATCATTTAATACTCATGTCGATGACACTCCTCATATGCGTAACAGTGCTCATAACCTGTATGCTGATGATGATGCAGTCCTCACTCAAAATACATATATTAGCTCAGTAATTTAATAATTAAATTCTCATATACATATGCTATGCTTCATAAGTTCAAGCTAATGGCTTGAAAAATTCAGATTAATATGAAGAAACATAAAAGGAAAAACATACATGGTTGTGTAGTACCTTTAAATCTATTGCTCTACTTTTTAAAAAATGAGAAATGAAAGCAAAATTGAAGCTATACCCCAGTATTTCCCAATTTGGAGCCTAAGTCCCCATGGGGAAAGGGCAATTCAAAAACAGACCAGCCCAGAGTTTCAAGATACAAGGGACATTCAAATTTCCAAATCTTCAAGTCGAAATTTTTCAAAATTTAATTTTTTTATTCCCAAAACTAAAGGATAATGTAAGTGATGTGTGCATAAAAAGGCATTTAATATTTTATATATTATATATGGTGCATTTTAAATATTTTATAAAGAATTTTCACTGCAGACATGGATATTTAAATGCTTAAATATTTCTTATTAAAAACCTATGATTCAAGTTTCTTTTGTAAACATTTCAATTTTTGAATTTAAAAATTGTGTATATGCTATGGAAAAGCATACAAATTTTAGGGAGGATTAGGAAACACAGCTACACTCTATAAATGCATCCCACCCAAGTCCTCTAAGTCTTCTATTTATTATGGTGCATTTGGACTTTAAGCTCTTTACAGAGGCTGTCTGCACATTTTTTAGATGATTTTGGTAAGCGGTAATAAAAAATTGTTTGCTGCAAAAGAAGTAATTGCAATTGTACTGTTTTTAATAGTCAAAATTATTGTCTGTGGCTTAAAAGTTTTGTTTTTATTCAAAATGGCGAATTTAACAAAGCAGTAGTTCGAAGGCTACATTTACGCTCTTTCGGAAGAGAAATATGCATACTCTGTTATCCAAAAATGATGTGAGAGTCATGGTTTTGTGATATCTAAAGTGTCAATAGGTAATATCATCAACAAAAAAGGAAAAAAAAAAAAACGTCAAATTGGAGCCTCCAGTGGGACAAAAATTGCAAACAAGTATCCAAGGAAAAATCGGACATCTTCGACTATTGCAAAGGTACATTGTTTAATGTTAAAAGAAAATCCCTCTAGTCAAAGGACTGTTGCAAAATCATTAAAATGCTCGGAGTCCACTGTAAACAAAATGATAAATGTTGATTTAAATCTTAAGAAAGCGAAAAAACGCAATTTGCATTGTCTTCTTCCAAACCATATATCTCAATGACGGACACGCTGCAAAATTCTATATGAGAAACACTTATCCAAAGAAAAATGGAAAACAATTATCACAATAGATGAAGCATGGATGTATTTAACCGCTTGAGTCCGGCGAGCGCTTCATTTGTCGTATGCCAAAAATACGGCGTTCGTTCGAAAAAATTGTATCCACAGGTAAGAACTCATCAATAATATCGTCATCGGAGATACTTGCAGTTGCTTGATCACCATCACTGCTATCACTAATAACTCGTAATCTCTTAGAACGAATGATGATGTCACTTCCACTATCACTTTCAAGGCCATTACTATACTCTTCATTATCACTTCTCATAACATAGTCACTTTCAAATGAATCAGAACTTGACATGGGTTATTTCGTAATTATCAGTATAACACTTGGTAAAAAAATGAAAACAATTTCCAATTCCTATAAAACAACTGCTACTGATATCACTACAACTGCTCTCAATTATTGCGTAAAGTATACTAACCAACAGCAGCATCTTTGCATTCTCGATACAAAACAAGAGAATCGCTATTGCGCTGTGGCGTATTTTTGGCATACGACAAGTGAAGCTTGATAGTGCTTCGCCGGACTCAAACGGTTAAATGATTGTAACAAAAAAAGAGCTATTTATTATCATAAAAGGGGAGAAAAAAATTTAAGTACATGGTTCAAAGAATCAAAAAAAAGTTTTTCTAAGAGATTCATGATTGTTGCTGGTTTTTCTTATAATGGCAAGTTTAAAATAAAGAGAGTGCAAAAAAATGTCAAGATAAACTCCAAATACTTTCAGGAACATATTTTATCACCAATTTTTCTGAATAAAATACCATCGCTTTACCCACAGTGCCATCAATCTGTGAGACTCCATCAGGACAAAGCTAGCAGTCAAACATCAAAATCTACTGTAAATTTCCTAAAAGAAATGGAACAAAAAACTGGTATCAAGGCCAAACCCTTCACTGCTTTCCCTATTAAATCTCCCGATGTGTCACCTATGGATTTTTGTGCTTTCAGACTTTTAAAAACTGCATTATCCAAACGTTGTCCCAAAACCCTAACAGGACTCTGGAAAGCTGTTCGGGAGGAATGGGATAGAATACCTCTTCTGCCACTTCAAAAGGCATTATTATCCTGGAAATTGCGGTGTCGAAAGATAGTTCAGAATAAGGGATGTCATAGAACATTTAAAACACAAGAATTTTATGTAATTAAGTTTCGTGAATACAATATACATCGTCTAAAAAATGTGTGAACAGCCTCTGTATAAGCGACATACCAAAACACTGGATGGACTGACTATGGAAGAAGGAATGGATAAAATCAACCTTGATGTTTTAAGAAAGGGACTTTTATTTTGGAAATCAAGACATAATATGATAGTTCAACAAAACGGCTATCAGAATAAACATATTAGAAAATAAAATTGTAAGGTTTGTTTACATATAAACCTTTGCAAAATCGTTACAAAAATGTGAACACCCTCTGCATAATATAAACCCTCTAGCAGTGAAGAATATTTCTTAGAAGAAAAACTTCAATATTAAAAATCACTTCTCAAATATGATCCCTCTAGAAAAGGCCACAATTCTTTAAAATACTAGACAGAAATCTTAAAAAGGCTGGAATGCAATTGCTATACATATGTTTTAATGCAGGGCTATTGACAAATAAAACAGAGATGCAAGATAAAAAAAAATTATTACTTTGATCTTCCAATACTTTATTTTGTCGCTTCAAATCATCAATGTCTTGTTGATGGGCTAAGTTCTTTCGACGCATAGATTGTATATAATCTGCTGCCTTCTTTAAAATTTGAGCCCTGGATGCCTATTTAAAAAAAGAAAAGAATTATGTGCAAATAACTAAAAGAAATTATTTACAAGTTAAACAGCTTTAATAAAAATATTACTACCACACACAGGAAAGCATTAACATGAAAAAATGCCTGCTATCAAAATAACAATATCGTAAGGTATAAATTTATATTCTAAAACAATATTCACTGCATACAACTATTAAAAATATGACATTCTTAGGAAGCTCAAAAAGTTTTAACTTTTCACCTCCTAGCTGAAGATTTTGTCTTCCAAGAATTCAGATATTCTGCTACAAAAAAAAATTTAGACAAAGGCTTCTCATAACATGGCTTGCAGTCTCACATTATTTAATTTAGAAATTATCAAATTTTTAGCAAAGCCTTCATTTTTTGACAAGCAATAAAACTAATTCAAGGCCATTTTGGCAACACCCTTCATATAATATACCTGCGAGACTGTGAATATTCAAAGAGCACTTATACCAACTGTAGCTGGTCACCATCAACTAGTATTGCAAAAAAAATTTTTTTTTTTTTTTTTCAGATTATGACAACACAGAAGTGGACTATCTGCTCAAATGGAAGATGCCTCCATGGACTTTCTAAATTTAAATTTCTAATTAATTTCTAAATAAAAGGAAACTGGCTCATATCCACATTACTTAGGGAAAGATCATGAAAACACCCAAGAAGTGTCAGCCTGTTCCCCCACATTTCAAGTGGGGTCAAACTAAGTTATCACCTACAGGGCTTTTACCACTTAGCCATTGGTAGACCATCTTAAAACAGGAATGGCTACAGCTAGCTCCCTACAAGTAAAATATCTGTGTGAACTGCACAAAATGTTTTTATCAATGACAAATGATAGTAGACATACATTAATTTCTCACTAATTTTAATGCATTTCAATAATGCATCCACTGTTTGTCTGTTTAAAAGGAAAAAACAGTTTCACTAAATTACATTTTATGAGCTTAAATTCTTTGGATGAGCAATGAAACAGTACTGCAATCCTAGATTATTTTTAAAAAATCTCATTTCTTTCTTGACAAACAACTAAAAATCCATTGCCCCCCACTTGTTTTATGTACCAGCCTTGACAAGAAAGTGGATTTGGTGCATTTTTGAATTAGTGAGAAACAAATGATTACCAACCCTTACATGTACAAGAAACAAATAGTTAATGATCTAACTCTTTTTTCGTAAATACATCGTATCAATACAAAGGTTTTGTAAAATTCATTGTAAAATACGCATTATACTTATTTTTTGATCTCTCATCAATGGAAAAAGAAGCCAAGAATTTTCCTATATGTTTAACAATGATTAAAAGGTACTTAATTTCCATCAAATAATTGCATGACGATTCCCATTTTCACAAATTTTCTTTTTGTAAAATGCTTTTTTCTTGTAAAAATATTTTCAGTTAATTGTAGCTTGAATATAGTATACTTGAAAAACCACCGTAATTTAAAAGTGAAACTTTTGACTAGCCAAAAGAAAAATATGAACTAAGAGCATATATGAAAAACCTTTATATTTTAAAACTGAAGGTTAAAAAAAAAAGCATGTGCACAGAAGAAATAGAAACTACCAGCATGTATAAAAAAAACCTTTATACTTTAAAATCAAAGATGGAAGAAACACATCTGTGCAGATCCGTAAACATTGAAAAACTGGTCTGTTTTAAAAGTGAAAAAATTCACTAGCTGACGAAACATGAATTACGAGCATGCATGAAATATGTTTTATGATGATGCTAGAAAAAACATGCATATGCAGATGGGCAACAATAAATGCTTGTTACTTGTAAATTAAGAAAACTCACCAAGGTTGCTGCATAAAACAAGCACCTAATATTCTTCCTTTGGACAAATAAATTTTCATTGAATTCAATTGTTAATCCTGCACTTTCTACTTTTTAATTGGCTCTTTTTTAGTGTGTTGATACTTATTTCTCTCAGACAATTATTTTTATGTTGGAAGCACATATGGTAATATTCACATTACACTATTTCTCTCAGATAATTATTTTGGGTCTACTTTTATCCTGGAAGCACATATGGTAATATTAACATTACATCATCTTCATTTCTCCTTCTTTGTTTGCAACAATGAGTCTTTGTGATAGCTTCTAAATTGTATACTGTGGATCTTATGAAAATGTTTTGGCCTCCTAAACTTTAAACTGTTTTATAATATTACCTACTGAATAATTATAAAAGCATTTCATGCTAACCACTTCCTTTAATTTTCCTTCAAACCAGAATAAATACATTTGTTTATAACCACTATCAGAACTTTTATTATCCTTTTTATTTACATTAAAAAGTGATATGACCACCTTTACCTAGTAGTGAAATATTTTGTCATTTGACATACGTTGCCTTATATTTATTTTTAATGATTTCAATATTACCTTAATGAAACTTTATGAAAACAAAGATTAAAATAACTATAAAAATTTAGCACACAAAACTTCTTAAACAAATCTTTGAAGCAAATCAAAAAAAGAAGCGACACTCGGAAGATTATATTCTTATTCATTTTCCCTACAGAACTTAATATTTGAAATCAGTTAGCTTATAATTCACTATTAAATGTTTTACTATTTTTGTTTACCTATTAATATATTACAATCTTTTTTTTACTAACAACTTGTAACCAAATATTTACAGGTAAGTAAAATCAGAAAACCAAATTTTACTTTTGAATGAAATCAGATTGTCCCAAACTGGGAAGAAGGAATCTGACAAAGTTTTAACATTTCTTGGTTTACAAAGGATAGAAGTATACGAATTTATACAATTTCATAATCTTTCTTTCTGTTCAGTCACGACATTATACAGTACTTTTCAGATCACAATGGTTTTCTTACACAGTAGACAAAAATATTCATGCTAACACAGGTTATGCAAAAAAAATAGTATTTTTTTGTATTAAACTAGCTGAGTGTTGGACAATTTGGTACACTTTATTAACAAATTGCCTGATATACACTTTTTCTGCATTTGGGAATAACACAGCTTTAATCTTTAATAAGAGAAAAACACTAAAAAAATATCTTCAAGCTGGCTTAAAATTTTATAGTGTTTTCTGGGCAAGGAGACAATTCAAAACTATAAAAATTCCATTTTAATTAAAGGATTAGCATAAAAATGGATATTAAAAATAAATGTCTTAATGCTTTAATATTCAGAAAAATCAACATATATAATATCTTTCAGTTACACATGGGGAGAAAAAACTAATCATCTGCTGCATTTTATCATTTTTATGCAGCTTAAAATGTATGCATTCTTGACAACAAATTCCATGAAAATTAAATAAAATGTAGGCTTGACAAAAGTAATTTGTTACTTACAATACTGGAAAAAAAAAAAAAAATCTCAATCAAATCCCATTAATAATCATTATAGTAATAAATCTATGTATAACTTTTATAGTAAAAATCTCAATTTACAGAAGGCATCAAATGTTAACAGTCACTATTTGAAAGAATTTTACCCTATTTTTCTTGAAAATAAGACATTTTTTTTATATGAAACATATTTTTATAGGTATAATCTTATAAACACCTGCTCTCTGAATCTATTACATTTATGATCTGAATGTCTCAAGGAAATTGGATACCATTTAATAATACTAAAGAACACACTTTATGCAATTCAAATAACAGTCACAAAACCATTTGAAGTAAGGAAAGAGTATTAGATTACTCTCACAGAATAGTAGCTCAAGCATAAATATCTTTAGACTTATTATAAACATTGTTAATAAATTTTATTTTTCCTAAATTCTGAAAATATTCTGTTATTACAAGAAATAACAGAATATAGAGAAGGGAAGAAGAAATATAGAGAAGAGAAGAGAAGAGCGAAAATTATGGAGTGAAAATATCAGAAAATTAAAAAGAATACAAGAAAGAGACAAATTAGTACCCGCACTTTATCACCCTGGAATGCAGGTAACGAGTCTCTTAAGCTTGTAAAGCTGTCTTTTATATGGTCTCTTCTCTTTCTTTCCAATGCATTATGATGTGCTCTTTTGTCGGCCTGCAAAATATAAGATTCAATTATCAATAACATGGCACTTCTAATTACATTCTTACTGAAAAAGAGAGGAACCAACATTTTTTATGATGACACAAAACTCAATATAATATTAATATACTAACACAATACAATAACATACAACCAACACCAACTACTTAAAACTGGTCGATAACATCGGAGAATTTGGTAAACAACCAGAGTCAATGGAATTATTTTAAGTTATTGCGATCTCATAAATGAACTATTAGTTAAAATACTCTAACTGATAACCTTTTTTAAAATTAAAGGAGGTTAACACGTATATTTATGAAAGATCGATATTAATTTAAAAAATATAATGACACAAAAACTAAAAACAAATAAAGATTTATACATACATCACTTTCAATATCATTGTCTCTATCATCATCACTCATTTCTTCAATTTTCTTGCAATTAATATATCCTGTATTATAATCCAATTACTGGAATCGCTGTTATAATTCGAAATACACTTTTTGACAAGGGCATTGAAAGACAGGAAACGATAAATGGCGTCCACCACAACAACAGCCACGCGGTCGTCACGTTCTCCACGTGCGTCAGAGTTGCCACTTCAGTACTCTTCTTCTTCAGGACCCATGAAGGGTAGATGATTCCTCACTAAGAGTGAGGTCTTACCTCCGAGTAAGGACATGACCCTAAAAGTTCCTACGAGTGGTGCAGCACCGATTTAACTGATCGCTAGGACATACCTCTATCGGGAAATTAGATACTTCAGAATATATCACTAATGGATTTATCAGCCATGTGAATTACGCTGCAAATTATAAAAAATAAATATAATATCTGAAGCGTTAAGTATCCTCCCAAAAATAGAGTTGAACGAACATAACCTTCGGAACCTCATAAAGTTCATAGTAAGACTCAATCCCTAACTAGTTTTCTCTGAAAATGGCATTTGTTACCTTTGGCAGTAGTATATGTTGAAACTAAGACAAGAACCCCCCTAACAGAAGATTATAAAAATATTCTATGAAGAGGTGCCGCTAAGTCTCCAGCTCTAGTCTTACATCTTGGAAAGATATTTGTTTTGTCTCTTTAGTATTTTAAATGAACTTTCAGGTAAGTTTGTTGTCACTTACCAGAACAAGAAATTTGATGCTTCTTTGAATAGACTGGGGAAATTTATGAAATTTCTGATTATTGGCAACATGGAAAGTGTAGATGAAAAACAATGTGGAAAACAAGTTAATGGGATATTTTTAAAAACAATAACTACTTGATTTCTTTATAACATAGTACTCGGTAGCATTAGTAAATCTATTCCTACGTGTTTTTTAAAGGTTACACTATTTGAAAATAGCAAAGCATGCGAGGACTGCTCGCCTAAGGGGAGGGATACCTCAACGAAAGGACTGGATGCGCGGTTAATTTTCGAGGGAAAAAATCATGTACGCCAGCCCATTCACTCGAGTTCGAATGCAGGCCGAACTACCAGGGTATATAACCGGGGCAGTAGTTTAACACTTTATCTTGTGTTTGGTGATAACTCGATGTTATTTCCTACAGACTAGGATTCCTTATTATGTAAAAACAATTTTATTGTTTTTATATAATAAGATACTAATGGATTGATTCAAGGAATTCAAAATAAAGATATACACACTCCAATAAGAGTTATACACTGATTGAAATGTACACCGATTAAAAAAAAAAAAAAAAAAAAAAAAAAAGAAAGAAAGTTCTATATCTCCCGTATTACTCGGGATATTGAATTTTCAACTTGGGATTTTCATGTCTCGAAAGCGATAGGATATGTATTAGATGTTCCAGCATAAGTATTTTGATACAAAATCGAATTTTTCTGAAATGGCATCCCAATTTTGTTCCATATCTCGATTCTGCAACTCAAACTATGCCTAAAAGTCAAATTTTGTAAAATTTCATGTGAACATACCACGTAATTCCAAAACGTATTTGGAACACTTTAATTTTCCGCCAAGAGTAATTTACCTTGGAGAACTTTTCAATTTATGTTATCTTAACCTCTTTTTACTTTCTTGTACGAAGTAACAAGGAAGTATTGCAATCGCGAAAAATTTCGGGTATCATATTTCAACGAAAACGTCCATTTTGACCTCTATCGAATGTAATTTAACGATGCTTTTGTGTGACATCCGTAAGTAAGGACAGAATAAATAACGCTTTTTCACTAAAAGCATTATAAAACTGATTTAAAATGAATTCTGAAGAGATTATTTCTCAATCACTAGACCAGTTTCCTCTGAAAATTGGCGTCTGTACATACGTACAACTTGTACACACGTACAGACGCCAGAAAACTTTATTTAGTTAATTTCTTTTATACATCGTTTTATATTTATTATAGTATTTGAATAGAATGTGTGGTAATTCTTCAGATGATTAATTTTCGTGCGCTCTGAATTATAAAATGAAAGATATAACGCTGTTAAAAGAACCTAGCTCCAAAGTGTCGTTATGGTAAATAAATATAGTGAACTTTAAAGAGTGCATTTTAGTTGTTTATGAGCGATCGACGAAGCAGATTCAATTCAAATTCGGTAACTGAATTCTATATGTTTAAATGAAATGCAGGAAAACTGTATAATTTAATATTCTGTACAAGGAAGTCATGTTTTTCTTTCTTGGAAATACTTTTATTTTATTTGAATGTTTTTTTAATCATAGTTATTTTTAGATTTTTTTTCCTTCTTAAAAACTTTAATTTTAATTATTTCAGTTTCGTGCTTAAATTCGTTCTTCAAATAGTTATTTTAAAAATTTTTGTTTATTCATTCCTGTTATGTATTTCAAGAGCGTTTATTAATATAATATTTTTCTTTTAAATTTGATTTCATTTGAATAGATTTCTTTCGGAAGAAGTCACGGTGCCTTTGAAAACGGCATCCTGAATTAAACGAGAAGTTGCGGTAACGTACGTCTTTCGATGGGCCCATTCAGAAAAAGATAGCGTTTACTCATTTTTAGAACGATTTCGAGCCGTTTAATTACTTTTAAAATAAAAAGAGTTTTCTTTAATGCTAAGACAGATAGTCTTTTTCTTGGACTATGAGTAGCGAAGAGCTTTAAAAATGCTGTCTTCGAATCTTTGTTATTAATTTACTTTCAACTAAATTTCGCGTTTACATTACAAGGAGTTGAAATAAGAAGCAAATGAAATAGTTGTTATCTTTAGCGGTAAGAACGTTTAATTTATCTCTCTTAAATTTATTTTCTCCTTTTAATATTCTGGTTACAACAAATTGTTTGTAAATGTGTTTGTGGACAACTAAATACAGCAGTACAAAATCGAGTGTATTTTGTCTTACGTCTTAACTGTTTCATTCACTATATGCGAGAAATTCTTGATATAATCTATATCCATAACATTTAGGAGCCCACTTTCAATTATATTGAGTGATTCATTGAAATATTTAAACCAGCTAATCTAATTTTAAAAAATATTTCACCCTTTTATTCGCACACTGAGTTTTCTTATACGCAGCATAAAACACAGCGAAAGAAATAAATATTTTGCAAAACGTAAAAAGTTATTGATGTTAAGTAATAATAAATCTGACCATGCAAATATAAATAAAATGGTGGAATAAAAAATGTGTAAATCAACGATTTTAATGGTGCCACCTATCGATCCGTGACATAACTACATAGTTAAGTAAGGTCAATCGCCTAATCGGAGAATACCAAAAATGTTATGGGCATCTTCTATGCAAACTGTTTTGTATTTTTCATATTTTTCCAGAATTTCTGCAACACTTTAGAAACACTGCTTGAAAAAAAAATCTGCATTAGATACGATGTTTTCTCGAAACGTTACAGCTTTCCTTTGCTTCATTTGGGGAACATTGCATCACATCTTTGTAATAAAGGTTTTCACTATTGGATTAATCCCGATGAAAAATATACCGAGAATGATGAGACTGGATTGGATTTTGTGACAAAACAGTCGAAAGACTACCTGCCTTCATGAAGGCATTTAAATGAAATGTAGTTAAAAGTGTGTGTAATTTAATAGACCATATAAGGAAGTCATCTGATGTTCAGATCAGATATTTTACACTTTATGTACGAAATGATTTACAACAAAACAAAAAGTATTAACAAAATTATAAATTATCCTTATTTACTCTTTTAAAATACACATGAATTCAAAAGCAAAATTTTTTTGTATTAAGTTTCAGAAAATAAAATTTCAACAAACATATCAAACTCTGACAATATTACGGCTGTAATCTGAATTATTTAAATACAGTTTAGTGTGTGTCTCTTAAGCCTTTATTTGCTATAACAACTTTTACTCTCTCGACATTGAACGAACTATTTTTTCGCAAAAATTAAAAGTCATTTTTGACCTCATTAATATGTTTAATACTTTATAGAACACTTAACACATTTAATACTTTTCTAAATAATTTCAACTGGATATACCATGACATTTAAATTTTTCTTGCAGATGTGCCGAGAAAATTTCAATTGCAGTTACGTTTGGAGGTTGAGGGGGCTATCTATAACATGTGGGCTTTCACAGAGCAATTAAAATCTAACACTAGAAGCTTTATGCTTCGGATAGTCGTCTGCATAAAAATGAAAAAGATCGTCTGTACCCAATTTTTAAGCATTCTCTTTTTAATAATTTTTCTAGAATTTGGAAACATTAGAAACAAACCACCAACTTAACAGTAGGTTTTAATTTTTGTTTTCTCAAATTCTTCATTTGGCTTCCTGCAAACATCTCTATCAGAAGAAAAGATATTAAACTTATATTCTCCCTAAATAAAGCTGTCCGCCTTAATAAAGTCCTTGTTTTTCTGAAGTTTTGAAAATTTCAGTCTTTATAAACAAACAGTTGGATGCTGCTTATGAAAGGCTTTCCCTTAGCAACTAGTCTACTGCAAGTATTCTTTTTGAGAATAATTCTTATTAATTCTGCATTAATTCCTTTTCCAAAATGCTTTCCTGCTTCCACAGCAAGTTTGGATTTAATTTTTATTCGACAGTGTTTCTTGTCTTAAATCGCTTGATTACGTCTTTTACTATTGAATGACTTTACTATTTTTGCAATATTCCTTACTAACAATCCATCTTTAAAGGCCTTTATTATAAGCTTACGAATTTCCATAAGCATTTCCCGGGACTGCTTTTCAGTTTTTCATGTTCAAAATGAAAAGTAATAAGTAAAGGATTAATTAAACTAAATACTGACAACAGGAAACTGGAAAAAATTTGATGTTCTTGCATTTTAATAAACATCACAAAATTATAAGTTTTCCAACTTTTAATTTTTAGAGTGATTCGCACTCTATAAGTTAAAAAAAAATTTTTAAATTCCTTTTTTTATGGTAAATCAATACATATTTCAAATGCTTATTTATAAAAGCTAGTTTATGTTTCCTTTCAATTATTATGTTGAAAATTGCTTTATAGAACGTAAAAATTTAACTTTTAACCACTATGTTTAACATGAAAATTCTGCATATTTAGTAAACCCGAAAATTTCGAGGCAACGTTCTGCAAGAGATAACTATATATAAATTTCATGAAAACAAG